ATGCTCACTCCTCCATGGCACCTGATCCCACCTCTGATGTTTGGAGGTCCGTGTTTGCTCTGCTCCTATTTTGTATTGATTAATGGACTTTTGAGCTTGAATACTGTTCGTTATCTCCATATATTTCATTTAGACATTTGGCGATTGCGAATCTACCAAAAATAACGTAATTTTCTGGCTAGTCAATGCATTATGACGTCATGAAATGCGTCATTTTCCTCATATCCTGAACAATTCTACAAAAACAGCCAATATTTAAAGATATTTTTCGATATTTAATATAGAGCGCAATATCTGATCTAAAATATGCAATTATTTACTGATAGAACCGTTTCTGAGGATTACAAAACATGTTTTATTCTTTAGATCAGAGGGTGCGCTCATATTATTTTTTCTTCTCTGAAAGTACTTAAATATACCTGTTTTCCTTAAAATTCAAGAACATTGCAATTCCATAAAGCTTGTTTTCCAAGACCTTGGCTTTAAGGAGAAAATTTTTAATAGGAAATGAAAGCACTAAGTCTCTACTTTATCTTGATGTTTAAAATGGAACATAAGGTGTTAGTCAATAAATTGGTATATCTACAGGGCCATTTTATGCATAAAGTGAACCTAGCTCTTTGTTTTAACAATGTTACACTTTTCAATGAACACTAATTGTACTTTTATTCTGTATGAATAAATTGAAAATATGTTTCTTCTATAGTGAAGACACTGAACAACAAGAAGTGTAGCCATATTGGTCCAAGTCCAAACGGCAGTTGTGTAAGGTATTTTGCATGTTTACTAGTAATTATTCTAATCACAATGATTTTTGTGTCCAACATTTTTGTCTTTTTTTCCTTTGCAATGATCATGGACACATTACAACATCTGTTCTTGACATATAAAATGTTTAATCAGAGAACATCATTGCGCAATAAACCAGAATGAGTACTATAGCGAATAATAAGTTATTTTTACCACAAACGATTACAATGGCTTAGTATAACTTGTGCCAGAATCTGTCACTCTAAGATTCTAATACCTACATTTAATGACTTACATGTCCTGGGTACCGTAGAAATCATTGTTCTTATGCCTTTCTCCTGTTTCTTCTTAGGCAGATAACAATCGTGCTAAGCTAGCGGCAAGACACAATAGCGCAGCAGAGTAATTAGTTTATCTGATATTATGATGGATTTATAGCTGCAGTGATTGAGTTTTTATGACTAGCGAAATAAGTCTTAAAAGATTTAAGTAAAGGGTGTTTGCGTACTTTTTTTGTTGATATTATTGAGGCATTTACGTTTTAGCAGTCATTCTTAATATGGAGGGTTGATTCCTACGTACTCCATTAAGGTTTGGCGAACTAACACTATATGGCTCTCGACAAAACGTCACATTTTCAACTATATTATTTAAAAAATCTCATGGTCTCCTTTTGGAGATTATCACACATTTATCTGCGATGAAGACAGTTCCAGTATAATATATATAATTATTTTCACTAATACAAAGGACTCTATTTATCTGTTTCTTTGCAGACCGTCCATCGTCCAATTTAGTCTCTACTATTCATTCAAAAACTTCCATTTCCATTTATAAACAAATGCATGACTCATTTTTTGGTATATTTCCTGGTTCCTCCACATTTTCGAAGGTTGTTTTCGAGGTTTCCCGAGAGCAGAACAAAAATTTTATCGCCACTCACTGCTCCGATGTCATCTTGTTTTGCTTTTTTTTTTTAATGAGGTCTATCTGTCTAGAAAGTATTACATTAAAATATGGCATCTAAAATTACACGCAAAAACTTAATTTGAAGGTTTAATCTTATTTCGTTTAAGCGTCATTTATTAAAGGAATGACTTAAGACATAATAAAATGTATTGTTAGTGAATTACTTATTTTTTGTGTTTTAAATTTTCGATAATTTTGATAAATATAATGATACATTCAATTTTTAAATTCAAAATTGATGTTAAAATTCTATATAAAAAAAGGCTAAAGTAAAATGAAAAACATGATAAAAGTCTACGTATTTTTTAATGGCCCTCGTATTTGAAAAGTTTAAACCACTTGATTTCTTTGCAAATATTCATGCTAACGTCGGCTATTTCTACTGTAAGAATTCAAACACTAAGAAATTGCTGAAGCTTTCTCTATCATGCCTTAATTTTCCTGACCCATTTACACAGATGTACAGATGACCTCTACATCTCTGGATCATCCCTCTGTCCTTTGAAATCATAAAATCTGAAGGGCTTTGGTTTCACTAAGTCAGTTTTCTGCTTTGCAACAATAACGTTAGGCCCTTTGTTCAAACGATAATTGGATAATTGCCGAGAACAGAGATTAGTAAATTCAGCAATAAGGTAAAATACCAGTTAGCAATTTTAATTACTCATTGATTGTATATGACGTTTACGCTGATTCGGATCTGAAAATTAGATAATCTCAGGACATTAAAAAGATCCTTCAAATTAGCATAATGCTCTATGTTGCTATGAAACCTTCTCAGTTCAAAATAATAACACGCATGAAATGCTCAGAAACCAGTTTAATTATGAAAGGCATTAAGTAAAAAAATTTTCAGGGATACACCAAGTTTACAAATATACCTCTAGGCACTAAAAATATTGAGTTTTAAATTAAGAAAGAATTTTTCTGTCTTTTATAATTATTGTGAGCAAAGAAAAACGGTTTACCTTATGATGAAAGATTGCGTTATAGTATGTTAAATATACTTAAAGTGATCATTTTCTGTCTTTAGTCATATACATGTACTTGTCAAGTGTAATTCTTGAATATTTATTGAACCGAAATAGGAAGAAGTTAATTTCCTTTGAAACTTCCTAATATCCAGAAAAGAAACAAGCAATGATTTTGTGACAGAACTGCTTTAAAAAACAACAACATGCATTTCTTTAAACAATTTGAAAGTTGCATTATAGGAAGAAGCGACTTAAGTTTAAAATTCATGCATCCGTTATCTACTAAAATGTATCACATTCCTAAGTTTAAATCTTTGATTCTGTTTATAAAAAAATACAAAGACTCGATCTTTTGAAGTAAATTAACTAGTGGTAAATTTTGTAAATAACCAGAAACATTTTTGTTCTCTATTGATGTTGAGGTCAAAAATTCAAAGGTCAAAATTTTTAAAGTAATGGTTTTTTTTCTAAGAGCACTAGCCTAATTGATTTTGAAGCAAATGCTGAAAGGTCAGGGTCATACATACTGAATTCCTATATGGTATGAAATGATTTCAAGAACCACAAGATTTCTAATAATTATTATTATTATTTTTGTAAAACTAATAACTTTCAAAGAAAAAGTAAATGAACATTTATTGTAGGTAATTTAGCAACTCAGAAGTAAGCGTATTTCAAGTATGTACAGTTCCACTTTAAATGAAAATTGAGTCTTTTTCTACAATTAGATTACTATAAGATTATCCATGCGAAGTAAATTATGTGATGCTTTTATTTTCTTATCACAGCATTACGTTAATATCAAAAAATAATTTAAGAGGCAGTCTACGAGAAAACCATGCAGAGAGCTATTCATGTTAGGTTCTCAATTTCACTACCCATTATCATATTTATTCATTTCAATGTATTGTAAGACTTTTCTGCAAATTTGGTCAAAATCTGGTAATTAGCACTGTGTACATGAGCGCCATCTATGTTTGTCATTGGCAAAGTGCCATAATGTTATAAAACACATGAAAAAATACCAGTTTCCTTTATAGCTTTACTTCATAATAAACAAATTTCAGGGAAAATATATGGGATATTTGTACATATATGAACAGTGTTAATCATTTCCATTATAAAAATTCTAAATTTATTAAACTTTTAATGAGAGACAACTCTAACAATCTCATGATGTTCTAAAAATAGATTTTTCTTGCCTTAATTCTAAGTGCCATAACACCTGATACACAGTTGAGAGAGAAATTTCTTTTTGTTCCTTGAAAGGTCATTACATAGTGTTTTTATCAGAAATTGGAATTTGTCGGATAATAAAATATAACGAAGTTATGATGAAAACAAACTTACACCATTTTTTAAAATCAACAAGGCCAATTTTTGCCCATATTGGACCTAGTTCTTTTATGTTACAAATATAAATATTTGCTACATATATTGTAAAATGAACATAATAATCTACACTTAGTATAAAAATATCAATTTTGCCTCAATTACAACATTCTGCAAAGATTATACCATTCATACATTTATTTTCAAACCTCATAGGGGTGGGAGGGAGTTAACTTCATTAATGGTTTTTATTCCATTATAACATAGTGTAGACATCTGTATTTACATGTACCTCACACAATATCTTCAGAAAGTAGAGTTCAAGGAGAGAAGGAGAGTATGATAAAATAATGAGCTCCATAGGCATGTATGTTATGGGGAAATTTGGGTTGAAATCTACTTATGAGACCAATAATCCTTTGAGGCGCATAGCAACATGGTGGCTAAAGCATAGCAACAATTTACTTGCTAAAAATTTAAAACAAGAATTAGTACAAGTTCCTTACCATAAAACTACTAGTATTGTTTGCATCCTCAAAGATAACATGAATTTATATGTGAATGGATTGACTTAACCACCATGTTATAAATTCAAGTGATACTATGTGTAATATGAATGTACATCTATGAAATCTGTAAAGAGAGCTTTATAAAGAGAAGAAAAAAATACATTCAAAATTCTACACTAAAATTCTGAAAAGTTATTTTACCCCAGTACATGTACCATGTTTCTGAAGAAATAAAATATCCAGAAAAATGTACTTTCATTCTTTTGAAAAATACACAGTATATCAATGAAATAACATCTCAACAAAATGATATATTTTGTGGAAACCCTAGAAGTTCATCCCAACAAAAATTAATGTAATGAAGTACATGTAATTACATATGGGGAATACACATCTGAGTATTATTATATAAACATTATTCAAGTAAATCTAAAAAAAAAGCATTGAACTCAAACAATGAGTTCCTGTGACAGCCATTTATTCCGCTAGTTCATTGGCTATTGCTTGGACACTATCAAATTGTTCTGCTGCCTGAAGACTACTTATGATATTTTCGAGTATTTCGACATCCTGCTCATCGTTGACCTCCTCCAACTTCAAGCGCTTTGTTTGGGAAGTACAGCTTAGCATTCTTTGTTTTTTTAAAACAAAACCTACAAAAACACCTCTGATTTGTTGGTGTGTCAACCATTCACTTGGGCTAAAAAGTCTCTCCCCATCAAAGTCTTTTTCAGATCGCATCTGTCTGCTTACAGTGTATGGATTGGCTTTTCGGCCGGTTTTCTCTCCTTCATCATAAATCTCAAGCAAATACTTTTTCACCTTACTTGAAAACCTTGTATTTTTCTTCCGCTGCTTCAGTGCGTATGCCGGTGTCTCATACGAGACTTCATCAGCAGGGTTAATATCACATGTTTCCACACTGACACTGGGCTGAGTAGATCTGATTTTGGTGCATACTTCTGCCCACATTCTCTTTGAAGTGTCCAGTATGTTGTCGGTCTTTTCATTGTCATAAACATGATTACCAACTGCTAGGTGGTTAAGCAGTTGATTCTCCTTTCTGAACTCTTTTACACAGTCAGGATCACAACATGACAGTAAACGACTTGTAGATTTTCTTTGTCTTGTCTTCTCAGAGGGTGGCTTTGGGTTTGCAACAATCTGTGTGCATAAAAAAAATGAATTAAAGTAAGAAAAAAAACATATGTGTTAAATTCATTAATAGAATAATACCAAGATTGTGCTATATGAGGCAAATGAAAATTACAACATACATGTACCACAGCTTCTGGGATGTCCACCATATTTTTTGTAACTGCTTCAAGCTTTTCAGATGAAATAAATTGCTCTCCAAAACCATAAGACTTGAATGCCAAAATACCATTGTCCTTAAAGATGAAGTTGTTGTACTGACTTATGGCAATCTTCAGTTGACCAGATAGTAAAGGCTGGGTGTTCATGTCCACATCAATTATGGAAGTTAATGTATTCCGGACTCCCCCATGACTCTCAAGTGCATCTTTCATCTCGTACACATTTGTAACATCATTGCCTTCATTGATGTAATTCAAGATGTGCATTCTACAACTTCCTGTGCGAGAGTCGCACAAATCTTTTCCTAACTGGGCTTCACTGAAGTTATATTCTCTGATCGTTACATGCATGTTGTTCCTTAATTTCCAGAGGCATGTCAGAAGGGGAAGACAGTGATAGCATCCTGCATAATCAGAGCGCAAATAAACTTCTTTCAAATGTGGGTGACTCTCATGAAGCATCTGCAAAATGTGGATCAGGATTTTTGAAACTGTGAACCAACCCTGTGTGCCATGTTGAAGAAGGTGCACATAAGAAAGGATGTCCACTGATTCATCATCTTCTGCATCATTTCTTCGTAAGAGTACACATGAAACATGCCAACTGATCCCTTGCTTTCCATACCATTCACTCTGAGTTTCTCTAAATGTCTGTGGCAAATATTTCATAGCCCAGTCAATAATTATGAGTCCTTGATCATCTTTAAGATTGTTCAGAATATCACTTTTACAGGCATCCTGATTAACAGTTCGTATGCAGTGATCTCGTCAGTTCACAATTTTCTCACACGATAACTCTACATCATGTTGAATTTCCTCTTTAACACTTGCGTCACAGTGAACATCTTCAAGGCATTGAGCAATGTCAGTGGTGACATTTTTTATTTGTCGGCAAGATATGCAGGTCTCTGAATGTTGATGGTCACATGGCAAATCAGATAGAGCATATTGCATGCAATGTTCAATGCATGTGCTTTTTGTGCTGAGGTGTGTTTTGAATTCGTTCTTCAGATGCAGTTTTACAGCTTGTAATTGATTCTTGAAGTCTTTCACTTTTCCGTCATGAAGTCCCACTTCAGATAACTTTTCTAATGCTTTCTCAATGGTGGAAATTCCCAATTCTCCTTCACTCGCAAGGTTGTCAATACCATGTAATGACTTCAACTGTGAAGCTGCACAAACTTTCACTATCTTGTATAGAGTTGCCCTTGATGGTGGTGCAATTTCATTGTCTTGACAATATGCCATGTATGCATTGATGAGTCTTGATGCAATCATTGTGCAAATTACTTTAGGTACTTTGACCTCCAATCCTGATGAGAGTTTCAAGTGTTTGGAACCAAAACTCACTGTGTAGAGGTACATAGGAGCTGATATGAATTCTACGAAGTGCTGGATTCTCCCTTTTGAAATTCATATCCGTACAATTTTAGGTGGTGCAACATAATGTCCAGGCCAGAAGGTAGCTGCATGTTTTCTTGCCACATCTATATGGTGGATTGTCAAACCCTCAATCATCCTCAACAGTATGGATTTGCTATATTTACTTGCAATTAGGGATAGAATCTGAGTGCGAGTTGTATGATCTGTAGCCTTCTTGTATGCCTCAATTACTGTGTCTGTCATTGAATCTTGATGGAATATGGCTGAGCCTTTGTAGTTGTTGATCACTTCATCAAGGAGTTGTTGACTCTGACCAGGAGCAATGATGTCACAAATATATTCAAAAGCAGCTTTTGCATGACACACATAATATGCTCTCTGCAAGTCCTGCAGAGGTTGGCTTACTTGGGAGCGTAGGCATTCCATGTGGCCGTTTGTCAACATTTGCATTGCATCATTGTACTTCTCCCTTAAAGACTTTTGCATATCTGACCAATTTGATGCTGCAGTGGACTGAGACAAATGCAAAGATTCACTATCTGACATCATGATATCTGTAAAGAATAAAAAAATAATTATTTACATACAACTGATGAAGGGTGATGAGTATAAGAGAAAAAGAAATACTAGTAGCACTTATTTGGGGATCAAGTTTGTAAAACTTTGCAGTAAGTGTTTTGCATAAATTTCTTTGACATATATGAAATGATGTTAACAATTCTTACTAGGAATGTCTAAATTTTTTTTCATTCTTGCACCATTGTACAGATATGAAAACAGACATAATCAATCAGTAAATTATAAATATATTGATATCCAAACATTCTAATATTGTGTGGATTTATTTTTTTTTTTCTCTCAAATTTTTATGGTTTCTTTGGTTGGACCAGGGCTAAATTGGGTATCAAATTTTGCATATTAAGGCATGTATAAAGGAGTAAAATATTCTTTAAAACTTTTTTTTTCCAGAACATCAAGGCCTTTTAGTCATATTCATTTTGAAGCATCCCATTATGTATGGATTCTTGTTTAATCACAAACTGTTTGGGACTAAGGTGTGGTCACAATCTGGGGGTCAAAATTGGTAAATGGGGATAAAGAAGGAAATACAAGTATTTAAACACCTTCAGAACATGGCCAAAGGTAAATCAGGTGTCTTGTGGACTATGGGCTTTATTCCTAGTAGTAGCTCAGAAAAATTCGCTTGAGCTTTAGAGCTTTTCATCATAAGGATTTCAAATAAATTTATTTTAATAAGGTCACTTAAAATGGTTTCAGTATAGGAGAAATTTCATTACAATGTCCATTGTAAAATAAATGAGAGCAAAGAATTACCACAGGGAAACCCGGTTATTTGTATATGCTGACCTTGGTCAAGTTCATTTGTCTGAGAGTCATGTGATACTACATCAGTTTCTTCAGCAGGGTTAACATTGTTGTTAACATCTGAAAATGTAGAGCATTCATCTTATGAAGTATTTAAATTTTATATATAATTAATAATGATTACAAAAACAAGTAGCCCATGGGCCTTAACGGTCACCTGAATATAATAAAAAAATTGCAAATGATCCATAGAAGTATAGAGTAAAAGAAAATAAACATAAAGATGAAACTATCTTGTCAAAATGGAAGACAATTACGATGACCAGGAATCAACAAAATAATTAATATGGTGCTCAGTAACAAATCTAAAGTAGATCTATTTTCTTGCCTGTACTTGCTCCCACGTGTTACAATCACCATTCTGACTAAACAAAACAGTAGTGCTTAAGCAATTTCAGAAAACTAATCACTCTTTCTCATCATAACCATGTACTAAATACGTACGGGCAAAAAAACATGAGCTATGAATTTCATAATTTTGGAAGAGGTATCCTTGCTCATCATAACCATGCAAGGTTTACCATTTGATAAATTTCAATATATGACAAATTTAGCCCCTCTCTGGGCCTTGTACTTTGACCTGGGATACATGAATTTCATAATTTTTGTAGTGTGCTAACTATTCATTATTATCATACAAACAATATGCCTGCTAGAAAAAGATTTTTGCTCCCACTTTTGTGAAAGCAAAGAGACATTAAATCTCAATCGTTTGTCTGTCTGTCACAAAAGAAGCTGAAAATACTTTTTCAAAAAATTGCCAATGCAATACAAAGGAAGGACAACAGACAAAAATTGATAGCAAAATGTCACCTGAAAAACTCAGGTGACCTAAAGATATAAATGTTTTTTAATTAAAAATTTTGCATAAATAGTCTGAAAGTTTAAGGAAACCATTCACAAACAACATACCATTGACTTCAGTGCAGTCTCTCAGATTACGTGAAGGTAATGAGGCACTAGTTGACATGGTCAGTTGCTCAACTCTGTCTAAGTGAAAAGGAAATATATGGAGATAACAAACAGTATTCAAGCTCAAAAGTCCATTCAAAAAATACAAATCAGGAGCGGTGCAAACATGGACCTGTATATAATGAGGGACACATCCCATATTACTTGTCTTGTTTGGAATGCATAATTTGGTCAATCCATAACCCCCCAACTCCAACCACCAAAAACAGAAAAAAAAACATGGATCCATCCCTAATGCCAATAAACTGGAAATATTTATGATATACTAGTAAAAGTAATTACCTTTTATTTCTTCCACAACTTGTTCACCAAGACCGAGATCTGCTTTGTGTTTAGAAACACATGTTCTGCATACAGCTTAAAATAAGACATTTCAAAAGAATTATTAATATGTGTCCTCATGAATAAGGTTTTCTGTTTTCTTTATGAATACTTGGTCAGTTTTGCTATGGTTTCTAACTAATTAAGACCTAGCTTCATGACTGATTTACATACATGGGTGCTATTACAAAAGAAATCATGATCAGTAAATGTAAGTGTTTCTAACATCTTGCTTATACTTTTTAAAAGTTTAATGTAAACAATTATTTGCAAAAAAACATATTTGGGTCTTAGTCGTTAAACATATTTTGGTCTCAGTTTTAAATTCTTTTGTAAAATGGGGTTTTGGCTCAGTATGTGCTTTTGGTACAAAATATCTTATCAACCTGACCTCATACATGTATTCACAAGACCTTACATGTACATGTACTTCAACATCATGACTTACTAGACTTGGCTGACCTCAGTAACATTTCACATATAATTAATATGAATCAAATAAATACATACATGGTTAGGCCATCTTTAAAAAATTGTTTGGTTGCCCTCTCCCAACCGACTGACTAAAAATAGCCCAACTTAAATTACGTTTTCAACCTGAGCAAAAATATTGTTTATTTATCGATCAAGACAGTAACCATATATTTTGTTTATCCTGCAATGTATTTTTACATCTGACCTCCAAAACGAGCTTCATTAAACCAATTTAGGCATGTTTTTGCAGTTGAAACTAAAACGCCACATGGCATAAACATTGCAATATTTTTGACATCACAATGCTTTTAAAATGTGAGAATACATGCAAAAGGCTTTATTAGGGCATTGACCAAATATTGTACTAGATTACCTTGATTAGGTCAATGCAAGCGGTGATTGCAGAGTAAACATTTGTACCAGGGCTCTCATACCCACTTTTCTGTCCTGGGGTCTGGGTCATTAAAACTTGGAAAATTAGTGACAATTTGGGGAATACTAATCTATGTATTCATTCTACATGTTCTACAGTAAAACTCATCATATTTTGTGTTTCTGGTGTTGAGTTGTTTTGTTGCCGTAAACTTTCAACTAAATAAGTAGCAAGTTTAGGTACATATCTATTCAATATTTGTTCTTGGGAAAATTTAAAACATAAATGTAATAATAGTAATAATAATTCAAGGATATTCAGTACATGTGACATTTGAAAAGATGTAGATTTGGACAAATTTCTTGTTTACCTTCGCCTATCGGGACTGACAGCTGTAGACGCAACCAAAGTTCCCGACTCAAAACTGGTGTGATGCCTCTGTCTGGTTTTGTTTTAGATTTTCCATGAAAGGGATGTACACAAGATCGCTTGCTCCGTTTCCAGTACAAGCCAAGCGCGTCTCTGTGTTTTTGGCAAATTTTCTTGTCTTGTGCTAACGTGATCACATTAACACCTGCTCTGCATAGTATTAGATAACTTTCGGGCAGATCTATACCCTTAGAGTTCGAATTTAGGTATCTGAGATGGTGAAAGGTTTGTTTTACACAGTCTTTCAAATAATATATCGCCTTTTCTTCACAACCTTCACCAAAATCACACACCCCAGATGACATCGCTGCCATTTTCCCTCCATGTAAACAATGGCTT